GCTCCGAATCCCGCGGGGAGCCGCCCCCCTCGCTTGCCGCCCCTTGCACGCTGGAGGGGGGTGAGCGAGCAAGCCTTTGCACCTTCCCCGCGCCTGGCTGGCTTTCCCACCGGGCGCTGTCCCCGCGGGGGTGGTGGGGTGAACCCCTAAGGGGAGGGGGGGCTATTCTTGCAGTTATATTTTTCTCTGGTGGTTGCTCAGGGTTGATCTCTGGCTTCTGAATGCTTTTTTTTTTTTTAAGGATTATTTATTAGGACTTTTCAGTGCATAAAATTAAAAGAAGATGAAGGGAAAAAAGTAAGGAAAAAAGAAAGAAAGCCTAGAATTAGGACTTCCACCCTTCTTGCTATCGAGTAATTGCCATCTTATTCTTCCCCCTTCCTTTTTAAATCCGCATCTGGTCCCTGAATTCTAATGGAAGGGAACTGGCTGTGGATTGGGGCAGAAAGCGCTCTCTCTGGGTCATTTTATTTATTTATTTATTTAATTAATTGATTATTTAATTAATTTATTTATTTGCATTTATTTATTTATTTATTTTTCAAATTTATATATGCTGCCCATCTTGCTATACGAGTGACTCTAGCCGGCATAGCACATTTTATTTAGCTGGACCAACTCACAAGCCATAAATTTTGTAGGGCTTTCGGGTTCTTGCAGTTTGATCTCTGGCCATCAAATCTCCGATGCTGGAAGGTTTACGCTGGGGAAGGTGGGAGTATTGATCAGAGGGTGTTGTTTTGCTTTATTGCCATTTTTACCAAAATAATTCCTAACAAGGAACTAACATTTCTTTTCAGCCCCCTTCCTGGATAGACCGAAGAATTCTACGTAGACCTTATTTTGGTGGGTAAAAATCCTAGAAGAACTCTTGCCGTGGCTAGATTTGAAATGGTAGCCTGGGCAATTCCTGATTTATTAATAGCAAAGCAGAGTCTTTATCACATGTGTTATGTTGTATTTTTGTGTGAACTGGATCTGTGACCCATAAGGCTGATTCCAGTGTGAAAATGGCCCCAACATGGGTGGTTTGTTCAACACCTGGGTTAAAGTGTGGTTAGCTAGCCTGTGACTTAGTGAGTTTGTGGGAATGCAGATACGCTCCTGTGAATGCTTGCTAGCTTAACCCTAACATAAAGCAAAAGTAACAGCTCAGGATTGTTGGGAGTTGGGCAACATACAAGTTTATTATTGTTGGTTGCACAGTCAGCCAGATGTTTAGACTGAATATGGCATTTTTATCCACCTATCGAGTCCTCAAAAACCTGGGATAGGCAGATGTTGTTTGATGGTGTTCAAGGTATTGTCGCAGGATGGAAGCTGTTCCAAGTAAAGCTGCCTTTTGCAATGA